ATTAGGCCCTGCTTTCTAACCCCCATTCTCAGGTCCATTTATCGGCTAACTCACATTTGCCTATCGTCTGTCACACTTCCTAGCTGCTGAAACCTAAACACACACCTAAAAATAAATAAGACACTGAGGGAATGCTTGCAAGATCCGAGCATGTGTTTACTTTTAAAGCTCTTGAATTAAATATACTAAAACTGCTACTAATAAGCCGATCCCTGGAAATGTTTACAAAACAAACCTGAAGCCCAAGGATATGGTTCAGATCCGTTAAACTCCAGCTCTAGGAACTATTTACTCTTCTCCGCTATAGCTAAAGATTTAAACAAGATCTGTGGTAAGCTTTAGATACTGTAGTTCCATTAGTTTATTTCAGATTGTTTTTTAGAAAATCATTGGTGTTTTAAAAACACTGTGCCGTGGAGAAGAAAAAAATTATAATTTGAGTGTGTACAGCAAATTTGATCCATTTTTAACAACCAATCAAAATGGATTAGCATTTTTTACAACCTATGAAGCCTGAAAATTAATTATTTATATTTTCCTTTTGTAGGAAATTTCTGATTATCTGGTCTATCTAGGAGTCTAACCAAGTAAGTCTTAATATGTGTGGTGCACAAGATGGAAATACTGAGATTAACAAAAAATAAAAAAAATTTCAACATCTTTTAGAATGGTAGGTAGGTTTTAAAATCAGATGGTACGTAGAGGGTGCGTGCATAGCTACAATAGTCTGCTTTGGTTATGTGATTGCAAAAAAAACAAAAAAAAACATAAGAAGGTGAAGAGAGGTTCTTGTTTGGTTTCATCATCCTTCATGTATTGTTGGCTGATGGAAAACGGTCATCAGAGCCATAATCAGTTAGCCTGATAAACCAGACTAAATGTGAGATTAAATGTGTAATTTAGTCTGGCCCCAATGAATGAGACATCGGAAGATTGTTGATGAGAACAACCTGTTGTCTCTCAAACCGCTGTCTGTGCCTATTGGCCAACGCTCTGACCAATGAGCGCAACTGACTTTGACGTAGTGAGCTCGACAGAAAGTTTGTGGAGGGAGTGTAAACATACAGCCCGGCGATGGCGAATACGTCCTTCTTAAAAATGAATTAGCGTAGAGCCTCTTGCTGCTCACGTTTCAACGAAAACCTCAAGTCTAATCCTTCCAAAACTGATTCCAAAGCTGAGCCAAAAATCGGCATCAGAGTCAGCGGTCCTTCACACACGACTATGCCAAGAGAGGGCCGCTGCAGATGGGCTGCGGTTAGCCCTGGCTGCCGTTAGCCTTGGAGGTCCGCTGGTTGCCGCGGTGCTCTCAACTTCGGAAATTGTTTTTTTAATCACGCATTAAATCGGTGAATTCCTTGTTGTGCTTTCTCCAGCGTCGCGCAGCTTTGTCGTCACATCCTCAAAACCCTGCCCGCTTTGCATCCATATATACAAAATACATCTCTGCGTTGTGATTGGCCCGCCAGTTCTAGGGCCTGGGGCATTGATCATTGATTTGGCCCCTGGTGGGTAGGGCTATTTTATTAGGCTAATAATCAGTAGTAGGAAAACCAAACTGCATAATACATTCTGATTAACCTTTCCTTCTCCTCATTGTTAGAAAGCGTAACGGAATCACTGACAGTGAAACAAGACTGGAAAAACTTGGGCTTCACAGGGCTTCTATTAGATCAGCAGGGGGGGGGGGGGGGGCAGGTCCAGGATGACAGACTCTGCTGTTGCTTGATGCATGTTTATGTGCCATATACTGCACATGCTCATTAACACAATGATTTCCATCTCCAGACTGAGCTGCTTCGAGTCAGAGCTGTAATTCAAAATCTATGGGTGGGGTGCACAGTGTGTGGGGTAAGGAGGGGCCGTCCCATAACGCTCTATTAAGGTCTGCGGTGAAGAGGAGGCTTCAGCAGGCCATGTCCATATGTTGCTGAGAGTCTGACAGCGGGGATCTGAATATGATTATAGGAGCTGTTGGAGGACAAACCTGAAATATAACCACTGATTATTCAGAAATGCCCCAGGGAGAAACACTAGAACATACATCATCCGCTGACGTAAGAGAGACTTTATTATGCAGTTACTTATAAAAACTTTGATTTAACTCATTATGCAATGCTTCCAACAAGCCACGGCTTGTGTTGTCTATTAAGTGGAAACTATAACGTTTTTTAATTTACTTCCTCTTATCTAACTTTATGGATCTTCTGGTATCAAGTTTACAGTGGAAAACTATTAGTTCCCTTCATAACTTTCTTATGATTATAGATCATTTCAGTGAGACACAGCTGGCTGCAAGAGAGTGACTCCCCTTCAATCTCTGGAATCAGTGGTGTGAACGCCACTTCTTTTGATAACACTCCAATAAAACTGCATTATCAAGCAACAGGCAGCATATATGTTAAGTAGGTGACTACAAGTCAGGGTGTGGCTTTCTGAAAGCTACAGGGGCCATAAGTTGATATTGTAAATGTTTCACAAAGGAGGTTAAAAAAAATCATGGTATGTATGTTATCAAGAATGTCTGTATGATATTCTCACAGGATTATAGTGATTAAAAAGATATAAGTTGAATTCTTGTGGAATTTCACAAACACAAGAATCCATCTTCAATCCAGCTAAAAACGTTCAACACTAATCCAAAACATGTCGACCAATCACGTCGCTCCATATCATGGTTTAGGGTGGGACCAATAGATGTGATAAAAGCAAGAGCTGCCACAAGCCAAACTAAAATAACATGGCAGTGCAGGGAGGGTGCACACCTAGCTGCTGTTATCACATCTGGTTTTAAAGAATTCATGCTTTCATTGTTGGAAAGCAGGAGAGTAAGAGCTTGAGTTGTTGTGGTTTTTCTCATGGCATCTGCTGCTATTTCATTTTTTTAAAGGTGATTGGCTAAAACCAAAACTTTGGTAGGTGGAAAGTAGGCATGCTTCGCCTAATCAGTTCTGCTTAACTTCCCTCCTTTTGTTGGACAGCTTCAATGGGATCAGTCCCAGATTATTAATCTGTAGAAATTAACCCCAATGCTGCACATTATCAATCGGGCTTGCCAGGTTATGTGCTGATTTTTGTTTTCCCAGTGGTGCAACGTCAGAGGAGAGTAATTCCGCCGTAACTTTCAACCTATTCAAAACAACCAGCAAATCCTACTTGTTTTCAACTCCTAAGTAGAACCAGCGCCACACGGGTGGTGTCATTTCTCAGAGCAAAGCTCCAATTTATAGAAAAATTCAACACAAATGTCTTAATTCGGCATAACAAACCAGGACTATATATATGTATATGAATGCCTGGTTCAGTCCTTAACAATACAGCTTTATTCTAGTAAAGATGATGAGGATGCTCCTGTAGCTTCTAAGATAAATACTGCTTGTATATATTTTTTTCACATATAGAAAGTGAATTCAGTGCAAGAAAATAAACGAGCCATCTTTTAGCCGGCAGTGTTTGCAGCATTAGGTCTAGATAGTTCCGTAATTAGTCATTTTGATTTTGAAACGGTTGACTCAGGCACGTTCTCTGGCATCTAGTTTAAAAGCTTCTAGTTGAAGCTTACTTTTCACACCCACAGAACTAAACATCAGAGGTCTCAAAAGTATCAATGTTTTTTAGTCAGGTAGAAATAGAAATTCTGCCATTTAAAAAAACTTTTCTAAATGTTAAGAGTATCAACGTCTACAAGAGATACTTAAGGAGGGCAGATAAGGAGAGATGCTTTAACCCCTCTGCACTATCAAAGGAACATTTTTCCACAATTCTGGATAATAACTTCTTTATACTTAAGTTTCTGAGTTTTATAACTAATTTCAACTGTCAAATTTAAGTTTGCATCGTTGAAAAACGATTGATTTTGGTATGTGGGGAACAACATGTTTGTGCAGTAGAGCCCAACCACAAAGAAATTCCTTGTTTGGATGAAACAAATTGATGGTTTTGATTTCTTTTTTATACCAAAAATGAGCTTAAATTAAAACTAACGAGTCTGTTTTCAAAATATAAGGGGTAGAAAGAAGAGATAATTGCAAAACAAAAATGTAAGGAGTAGAAGTAAAAAGCTGTCTAAAGAATAATTACTCCAGTAAATATAGATATGCCAAAATGTCTACTTAAGGTAACAAAGTGTTTGTACTTTGTAACTTGACACCTCTGCTAAACATGGAAAAGCAGCATTTTGTTCCTATGCTCCACTTATCTGGAACAAACTCCCAGAAGACTAAAAGTGCTGAAACCCTGAGTTCTTCTGAGTCAAAGTTAAAACGCTTTTTTTTTTTCTTTTTAGAAGTGTCTTTGGCTGTTGAAGTTAAACTGTTAACTCAGGTGTCATTAGTTGAAGCTTTTGATATTTTGCTTTACTATTTGCTTTTACAATGCTCTCATCTTTACTTGCTTTTATTCTGCTTCTATGTTCCTTCTATCTTATTCTTTGTAAAGCATCCTTGTACTGAATAAATAAATAAACTTTTATATCACAGTAAGGGCTTAAAAAAACTTTTCTAAATTTAAGATTACTAAAAACAGGCCTTTAAACAATTATAGAAAAACTATTACAATACTGCTCCAGCTTTGGGATAACCATCTGGTTCACTACATGGCATTTTCAGCCAGCTTAGAAGCAGTGTGCAGCAACATGTTGGGGAGGGGACCATACTGAGGCTCAATTCAAAGAAACTTATAGTTATTTATGTCTTGTCCTCAGTTTGGATTCTCCCAAATAGAGCATTTCTAGCCAGAACTAATTAAGACGCATTTCTGTGGGACTGTGGAATGAACGCCTGCTTTAGCATGAATGCCGCCTTTATTGGTGTCTTTGTCCCTAAAAGAGAAGAAGTGGAATAACGCAGCAGAAAGACAAGCGGTCAGGCTGCTTGTTCTCAGCTGTAAAGTTTATTCACCGAGCAGCTAAAAAAACTCATCCATGTTGATCCAAAGCTGCTGTTCGAGGCGTGAAGTTATCCAAACACAATCTAAAGATTTAAAGAAGGGGAAATACTCACCGACTCTCCTGCTTATTCTCCTGCTGGAACTTCTTGACAGTCGAATCTGCGAGGCAGAAATAAACTGAAAAAAGCCCACCTTTTCAAACACACAAGGAGAAGCGGTTTCCCCTCTTGTTCAAACTAACAGGCTTCCTCTAACGCCAGTGACATCGTGGTGTTCCTCTCCCTGCTCTATGCAAATCTGCTTTTCCTCCTTTTTTTCCCTCTTTACTCTCTGCAGACGGCAGATGTGAGGAAGACCGGCGCTACTTTCAGCTCATAAATGGTCAACGATCCGCATGAGACCCCCACATACCCCCCAAACCTGGCTCTCAAATAGAAAAAAAAACAATATATATTCAACAAGCTTCGTTTCTCCTCCCTTTTTTCTGAAATAAACAGCACAACAAAAGAGAGTAAAGTTTCCCCCTCCTACTCAGGGTGACCCCTCCCATTCCTATCGGGCCGTTGGACCGTCAGAGGCGGGGGGCTGCTGGGGGGTTGCTGGGGGTTGCTAATTACCCTCCAGGTGCTAGCTGCCCTAACAAGCTGTTAAACTGGGCTTTCACCTCTTGTTCTATGTGAAGAGAACAATAGTGAACCGACATGGTTATCAGATGCTAATTTGATTTAAACTGTTGATTTTTTTGATTCAATTGTCTCTGTAGATAACACCAAGCTAGCTAACAAGGGATGCCTTCAGCACCAATTTTTTGATTTATTACTATTCAACTCAGTTAATGTCTGCTTTATAACATTATTTTCTTTACATTCCTGCATCTTACATCTAGTATTACACAGATAACAGGATATGAATATATAAAACCATAAAATATAACTCAATTATTGTACATTTCACACTGTTGTCAGGTACAGGTTCATTTGGGTTGGTTTGTTTTCAAACAGAATTATAGATTGGGGAATAACCCTTAGCAAAAAGTAGTTTATTTAAGTATACTAAAAGTGCACTAATTTCATACTTAAAATCAGGCAGTGCACTTAAGAGTTTACTTATTCTAAACTATATTTCATATACTTAACAATAGTATAGTCAAGTTTACTTGACTATAAT